ATTTCACCGAGAAACGCCACGAGACCAACGGTATTCCCAGGGACCCAGTCGGGAGTTGGCCAAGCCAGGACTGGCGCATGAAAGACCGCCTGAAAACTGTGTCTGCGGCTTTGGCAATTTGTCTGAACATCGGAGTCGATCCTCCCGACGTGGTCAAGACGAACCCGACATCGAAGCTTGAATGCTGGGTAGATCCGAGTTCTACCACAGGTGGTGGTCAAAACAAGATCATGGAGCAGATTGGCAAGAAGCTACAGGAGCAATATGAGACTTTGAGTCTTCGGACAAGATACAAACAGTATCTGGATCCATCGGTTGACGAGACCAAGAAATTCTGCATCTCACTTCGCCGAAATGCCAAGGACGAGCGAGTGCTTCTGCATTACAACGGACACGGAGTGCCGTTGCCAACTCAGTCGGGTGAGATCTGGGTCTTCAACAAGAATTATACCCAGTATATCCCTGTCCCACTGTATGATCTGCAGTCTTGGCTAGCCGGGCCTAGTCTTTTTGTCTTTGATGTTTCACATGCGGGCAACATTGTCCAAAACTTCCATACTTTTGTTGAGAAGCATGAGAAAGAAAATATTGAAACCAAGAAACGAGACCCGAATGCCGTCCTTCAGAATTATGGTGACTGTATCCTCCTGGCTGCGTGCCAGAAGACGGAGTCCCTTCCGACCAATCCCGACCTTCCTGCAGACCTATTCACCTGTTGCTTGACAACACCGATTGAAATCGCATTGCGCTTTTTCATCTTGCAGAACCCTTTACGCACAAACATTCCCATTGATGACTTCCGAGTTCCCGGTCGCCTACAAGATCGCCGAAGCCCTCTTGGGGAGCTGAATTGGATCTTCACTGCAATTACCGATACGATTGCGTGGAACACCTTACCTCGGGCTTTGTTCAAGAAGCTCTTCCGCCAAGATCTTATGGTCGCCGCTCTTTTCCGCAACTTTTTACTCAGCGAACGCATCATGCGCACATACAAATGCCATCCGATCTCTTCGCCCGAATTGCCAGACACACATCATCACCCTCTATGGAAAAGCTGGGACCTCGCAGTCGAGATGGTGTTATCTCAACTAACTGCTCTCATTGATCATGATGAAGGACGCCAGCAGTACGAGTACCAGCACTCAACGTTCTTCGCTGAGCAACTCACTGCTTTTGAGGTATATCTGTCGTCCGGTCCTACAGAGAAGAATCCACCGGATCAGCTTCCTATTGTCCTCCAGGTTCTCTTGAGTCAGGCACACCGCTTGCGGGCCTTGATTCTTTTGAGCAAATTCCTGGATCTCGGACCATGGGCTGTCCACCTTGCACTCAGCATTGGCATATTCCCTTATGTCGTCAAATTGCTACAATCAGCAGCTCAAGAATTGAAACCCGTTATGGTTTTCATTTGGGCGAGAATCATGGCAGTCGACCACACTGTACAAAATGATCTACTCAAAGATAACGGCATTCACTACTTTATCTCAATTCTGAATCCCTCTTCGCCCATTCCTGTGGGCAACGCCAGCGAACACCGGGCTATGTGTGCTTTCATAGTCTCAATCTTCTGCAAAAACTACCCTCAGGGACAGAACGTCTGCCTTTCTGTCGAGCTGTTTGATTCGTGTCTCAGGCATCTCGGGGATGTGGAAAATCCTCTGCTACGGCAGTGGTCTTGTCTGTGTCTCAGTATGCTCTGGTGCGATTTCCCCGAAGCAAAGTGGATGGGCATTCGATGTGCAGCTCCCGCTAGGCTCTGCGAGTTAAATTTCGACCCCGTACCCGAAGTTCGTGCCGCCATGCTTCACGCTGTGACTACGTTCTTGGGAATTCCAGATCTGACTGACCAAGTTGCACAAATCGAGGAGACTTTAGCCCTGGCAGTCTTGCCCATGTCTGCCGATGGGAGTGTGGTCGTTAGGAAGGAGCTTTTAGTGTTCTTCTCAACATTCGTCAGACGCCACCAAAACAAATTTTTGGTCGCAGCATTTGAGGAGCTTGAGGAAGAAAAGCGGTCCCTGTGTCATCGCTGGGAGAACGAAAACTCTAAGACTAGCCGCGCCGAAGGACAAACTGGAGCACTAGTTTCTCATGCGAAACACCCCCAGCTGTCTCGTAATACTACTTTCGGAACTATCTGGAAGCAGCTGCTGGCTCTCTCGGTTGATCCTCATCCTGACATCGCCCAGGATGCCGCCGTTATCGTTGATTACATTCACCTTGCCTTGTTAGAATCCCCAATGGCGCCTCTTACTAACAAACTTCAGAACGAGATTCTAGAAGTCACAGGCTTGACGAAATCCCAACCTCGCGAGCGAACTGAGGTGAAGAAAACCGTGCCACCTGCAACGCCTCCCTTGTCTGGAGCAGCAGCTTCGAGACAAGAAGGCTATCTTTCTTTGGGTTTTAGGCGAACTGCCAGCGTCGCTGCTTCCCTGAAAAACCTTGCTTTTGGCAATTCGTCGCCAGACCTATCCTCGGATAATTCAAACCCCCCTTCGCCTTCAACCAGCCGTATGACAATTACCCCACGCGGCCGCGCCCCTCCTGAGTGGACCCGACCCCCGGAAGGAAATGATCATGTTGCTCCCGCAACAGCGTACCACCAGGCTCCGATTCCCACATCCCGAGGGTTTCAACCCAAAGGCATTGATGTCGTGCCCGTTATTCCCCTAAAGAGTCGATTCCTCGACTGGTCGACCGAGGTAATTCCGGATTTTGAATCCTTTCTCTCCCACAACTATGATTACCAGCAATTACTCACCATTTCGAAGTATTTCCGGGAGCCCCAAATGAAACCCAACGAGCCGGATGAGCCCGGTAGCTCCGACTACAACCAGCGCCTCTGGAGACGCGGCCGCAACGAAAAGATCATTGCTGAAACCCAACCCCTCAAAGGAAAAGCTGGAGCAAGCCGATGGGACAACTCGATCGCTTTGCTATCGAATGGTAGCCAGCCCCACAAGATGTGCTTCCATCAATTTGAGGATCACATTGCTGTCGCAGATGACCGGGATACAATCTCGTGGGTACAACAAGTCACCTGTTCTTCATGATCTCCTAACCATTAGTTTCGTATAGAATCTGGGACTGGCAGAGCCACAAACGCCTCAATCAATTCTCAAATGGCAACCCGGTCGGGTCAAAGATCAACGAAGTTCGATACATCAATGAGGACGACCAAGCCCTACTTATGACTGGATCTTCCGATGGCGTGATCAAGCTTTTCCGCCATTACGAGACTAATAAGAAGATTGAAGTGGTCACAGCCTTCAGAGCCCTCCCTGAACTGATTCCAAGCAATCGCAACGCAGGCCTTGTGCTTGATTGGCAACAAGGTCAGGGAAAAGCTCTAGTTGCAGGTGATGTCAAGGTTATCCGCGTCTGGAATGCTGCTACTGAGGTGTGCACAAACGTAAGTATTCAATGTCTTGTCTCGCAAATATACCACGTTACTCATAAAAGCTCAATTACAGGACATTCCGGCAAGATCGGGCTCCTGCATCACATCCTTGACATCTGACCAAGTGGCGGGCAATATATTCGTTGCCGGTTTCGGTGATGGTGCTGTCCGAGTCTTTGATCAACGGTTGAAGCCAACCACATCCATGGTCAAAGTTTGGCGCGAGCACAAGCAATGGATTACAAATGTTCATATGCAGCGTGGCGGTCTACGAGAATTGATATCAGGTGGCCGAAATGGTGAAGTCCGACTTTGGGATCTTCGCATGGATAGCCCGATCTCCACCATCTATGCTACTAAAGACACCCTGCGGACCTTAAGTGTTCACGAGCACGCTCCTGTTTTCAGCGTGTACGTTTCCTCCGCCGCGATATTCTAATGTTTTGTTGTAGCTAACATGACGCAGGGGTACAAATCGCCACGAAGTCAAGACTTTCAATGTGGATGGCACCTATCTTTCTACGTTTGAGCCATACTCGAGCTTCCTTCATCACAATCGATCTTCGCCCATTGCCTGTACTGCCTTCCATCCCCACCGGACTGTGCTTGCCTGCGCTGCATTGAATGATCATCATGTGAACCTCGTGTCCTGCTAATTCCAGCTCAGCTCCGAAACTCATGATACCTTCGTGTGGCGACCTTCATGACGTTGTTTCTTTCTCTTGTCCTAATATTACCCTTTCTGTAATATGCGTTCGCATACCCGATGAACAAATCCACACGGCGTCTTGGCGATTGACTTGATCAACCATACATTGATGGCTCTGCGTTGTTTGTTTTGTTCCCTTGGGAGTGCTTCACTGCCCTTTGATATTCGTGATGATTCCTTTATTCTTCTACTTCGTGTGAGACAGTGTGCCCAGTTTCGGGTCTATGAATTTCTTTTCCCTTCTTTATCCTTTTTTTCCCTTCTTCGCTATTAAGCACACAATATCTTGTAGTAATCGGCACTAGTTGGTGTCCTGACGGAAGAACGTACGATTGTTGGAGTGCTCGTGCTCTGCTCACTTGAATGCAGTAAGTACAGAGCACCAGAGGCTGTCTTGTCTTGACTGATAGTATGACCTAGTTTTATTCGTCTTCTTTCGATGCTTTTTGATGAATCGACACAATGCATTGGTTATTATTTTTGTGGGATCTCGCTTATGTCTTTATGGATGTACTTGATGCTTGGCCGCGCACTGTAGTTTACTTTGGTGCTCCAACTGGGCAGGATTAGGGCTCCACACGTTCACTGGGTGGAATACACTGGCCGTTTGTTCGTTATTTACCTCGGTGTAGTTGAAGGGTTGTCAATCACGCTTTGTGTATATAACAGAAAAGCGAAATATATAAATGTAAAGCATAAGCTGAAAAGTTCTGCAATATATCTTCGATTATTTATCCTAGCCAACTTGGATTGATGATCATTCGAAAGCAGTGAGATAAAACAAAAAAAAGTAGATTGATATTGACATTGTTGGGTCATTCTCATAAATTACTCAAAGCTATGAATACAGCCTAGAAATGTTCATATAACATCACACTCATAAATCGCCTAGTATTTGCGTTCGCTGTCAACCGTCTCATTCGCGTCAATTCTGGGGTCAAGCTTGTTCAATAGATCGGAGCTGTGGGGACCAGAGGTCTTCCCAGTTTTCGAGGTTTCGATGTAGTTATTGCCACCACCGGGCTGCCCAGTAGTAGTGCTGTAGTTTTGACTGCTAGACAAAGGATTGTTCGAGCTGTGACCGGTCTGTCCAGTGGTGGTGTTGCTGGACAAAGGGTTGCTGGAGCCGTAGCCAGTCTGTCCAGTGGTGGTGCTAGACAAAGGGTTGCTAGAGCCATATCCGGTCTGTCCAGTGGTGCTGTTGCTGGACAAGGGGTTGTTGGAGCCGTGGCTAGTAGAGTGGCTGGTGGTGTTGCTAGACAAGGGGTTGCTAGAGCCATATCCGGTCTGTCCAGTGGTGCTGTTGCTGGACAAGGGGTTGCTAGAGCCATATCCGGTCTGTCCAGTGGTGCTGTTGCTGGACAAGGGGTTGTTGGAGCCGTGGCTAGTAGAGTGGCTGGTGGTGTTGCTAGACAAGGGGTTGCTAGAGCCATATCCGGTCTGTCCAGTGGTGCTGTTGCTGGACAAGGGGTTGTTGGAGCCGTGGCTAGTAGAGTGGCTGGTGGTGTTGCTAGACAAGGGGTTGCTAGAGCCGTAGCCAGTCTGTCCAGTAGTGGTGCTGCCGTAGTTGTCATTGCTAGACAAGGGATTGCTGGAGCCATAACCTGTCTGTTTAGCAGAGTGGCCAGTGGTGCTGCCAAAGGCGTTGTTATAGCCGTGGCTAGTCTGTCCAGTGGTGGTGTTGCTGGACAAAGGGTTGCTAGAGTCATATCCGGTCTGTCCAGTGGTGCTGTTGCTGGACAAGGGGTTGCTAGAGCCATATCCGGTCTGTCCAGTAGTGGTGCTGCCGTAGTTGTCATTGCTAGACAAGGGATCGCTGGAGCCATAACCTGTCTGTTTAGCAGAGTGGCCAGTGGTGCTGCCAAAGGTGTTGTTGGAGCCCCGGTTGTCTATTTTGGGATGTTAGATAAATGACTCTGGTATGTTTTCCAGGTAGCTAGCCTGTAAAGAGCAACTTACCGAGATCGCTATCGACACGGGGATCAGCCTTGTTGGCTAGCTTAGAGTCATGGGGACCAGCATTGATCTTGCTGGACCCAGTGTTGGATGAGCCATATCCGCCAGCAGTGCTTGATCTGTAGGTATCTGACGTTCCCGGGCCGACATCAATTGGACCCTTGCGGGAGTCATGGATAGTGCCGGTGCCAGTACCGATGCCACTGCCAGTCTCATAGCCGGGGCCAGAGCCAGAGCCATAGGTGTTCGAGCCTGCGCCGGTAGAAGTGTTTTTGCTAAAAGTATTGTCCGTAGTCTTGTCCGAGGATCCGTAAGTATCCCGGGTATCTATATAAATAGAATAATTAGCATCACACTGCAATAGTTTTTTACTAGAACAACGAACCATCAGTCTTGATGCTGGATGTATTCGACTCATCATGATGATGACCGGTCACGGCATCCTTGACTTTGTGAATGATGCTCGACATGATAGTAGTACTTTGATAGTAAGGTAAAAGATTTGGAAAGAGCTGTAGTTGAAGTCTGAATATATTATTCGAGTCAGATGATTGTTTGTTTGTGGGAGAAATAGAAGACAATGTGCTTCCATAGCCGGTTTATATACCCTATTATTGTCTTTGCGTGTCTTGACCAGCTCATGAGTTGATCCCTACTTGTGGAGACTGAGTGACGCCATAACGCGGGGGCTCCACGAATATATTCACCGGTGAAACATGGAGAACTCTTTCACTGCCCTGTTTACAACTGTCATGACGTCCCAAACAAACTTTACACATACAGACTAATAGTCTTGGCTGAAAATGAAAGCTATCTCAATGTCATCTATCGTCATGTTCCAGATCTTCAAGACCAACACGCCACTGAGCCAAGCCTTACAAGGATAAGCTGTCGATCTACGTGCCGACTGGGATTTCATTTCGAGCGGGTTTTCCAGAATTTCGTGCCAATAATTCTCTGAGTTTGAGATTACTATATACTGGGCAATGAAAGCTTAGCTCTGAGCTTATATTGTGTCTTTAGAAGAAGAGTCTACAGTGTTAATTTGTCTCTTGTAGAAATAATAAACGTATACAAGGCAAACGAAGAGATTCTGGAAAGATTCCTGCAATACACGCTAGTCCCTTTTAGGCTATACACGTCATAAGAGGGGTTACATAATTTCCACGCTAATCCATATATGGTAAGTGGGGACAAGCTTTATCGATCGTCAAGTCCAAAAATATCTGACGGGTGTGCCTTGATATTGTCCTGAACATTGTACGTAGAATGTAATAGCTGATTCGATCAGATACTACAAAAGGCAGTCTATGATATAGGCTGCATATATTGATCGCGCTGATTCAAATCAAAACTTGAAAAGGGGGTGGCTTACGTAGTTGCCTAGCAGTGCCCAGCCCTGGAGGTGATGGCATGATCTGCGTAGCTCTAGGTCGAGAACCTTGGAAGCGATATCGAGTGTACGGAGTACTCCGTATATCAAATCTACAATACGTGTCTGTTATTGCGAGATCTGAAGAGGGGGCGAAACTGCACCATGCCAGTTAATATATTGTGGCATTATACGAAGTACATCATTTGTCAATTTCTCTCACAATACTTGTGGGAGTCTCCTTTTCACATATTAAGCGTCTGATGCTATAAACGAGGGTTAGATGAGCCAGTATAGTTACATATTCATTAAGAGTCATATGTTAACTACTTAAGGTGATGTGGTTTGAGGCACCAAGGCCATAATAATGCCTCAGGCTTCCAACACATGACACGACGGGCATGCCGTCACTTACCCGGGGTTAGATAATCCACATCATGAGTTCATTTCCCCTTCTCCACCTAACTTCACTTGAACTCCCCTCCTCTCTATCTGATCTCCTGGCTCGGTTTGACTTCCCTACACTCGCGTTGGCTGCCATCTGTCGACTTTCTTCAACCAGCCATAGTGCTGCCCATTGCACTCGATGAGTGGCCGCTTGCTAGCTTGCCGCCAACTGTTGGATTGGTCATAAAAGAGTCCACCCAAAGTACTGTGGTACAGCGGAGCCGCTGGCATCGTCAATCATTTACTTGATCCACCCCATTTTGCAGTGATTAGATATCTCCGATTAAACCACTCTACGGTAGAAGTGGTTAAAACCATCTATCAGAGACATGCGACCGCCACGCCTGCTCATCGTACTCTTCTGCCTTATCTTTTTCCCGATCCTCCTCACCTTCTTTTCCGCGCTTACATCACCCGATGTAGCTCCTAATACTCTCGCTGGCCAGAAAACTGGGCTGCGAGCTTTATTTTCTTTTAACATACCATCGTCCCTTTTCCCCCCGTCGGCTATTATCAGTCTCACCGATGACAACTCGACCTTCTTTCTCGCCCGACCAGCGGCATTTGGCTCCCTACTGCCAACCAAGGGCCTCAGCGGTCAGCTATGGGTGGGAAGTGGCTTTGGTGAGGGGGGATTAGCTGGTAGTGTGGAAGGGGAACTGGGCTGCTCCGATATTCCCGGCTGGGGTGAGAGCAAAAATCATAAGAAACAAGATAAAACCTCTAGAGCCGCGGAGCAGAGTTCCGGGATCTCCGGGGGTAGTACAGTGAATGATCAATCATCAAACCGCCCGCGGTCGTTGTCGCAGATCGATACTACACAGAACGATAGAGATTCAACTACCCCGCCTTTGACGAACGATGGCACTGATGACCATCTACACCATCCACTCCCTGAATCTGGTTCTTCTAACCCCGGGATGAATCAGAAATATGGAGATTACGTCCAAAATAAGCCGCCTGCGCATGCCGACATCCAATCGCTACAGGAAACTGCCGAAATCCAGGGTAAAGTGGTGCTGTTGAGTCGGGGTGGCTGTGGGTTTTTGGAGAAGGCCAAATGGGCGCAACGACGAGGAGGGATTGCTTTGATTGTCGGCGACGATACCCGAGGTGGCAACTTGGTCACTATGTACGCACGAGGCGATACATCGAACGTCACGATCCCGGCCTTGTTCACATCTCACACTACTGCTCATCTTCTATCGTCATTGGTTCCTGGGCATGCCGGTGGAACTGCTGGTTTAGGAGATGTGTTAAAATCATCACAAGCGAATCTGGCAGGACAGGCTGAAGCCGACAAAGAACGGATGGCAACTACTACCGCAACAACTATTCCAAGTCCGACTGCCAGCAGCCATTCGACAATCAAGGAGAAACCTGCACCCTCTTCTCACTCGGAAGGCGGATTTTTCCGTGCAATTGGTGCATTATTGGGATTGTGCGATAAGAACGGAGGTTCACGGCGTCTAGAAGACAGCCGACGTCCGCCTAGCAGCGGCAACATTGATTGGATCAACCTAGGCTCACGGAATGAAAAAGAAGCCCCGTCTAGCGCTTGGAGGAGATCAACAGATCTCAATCATCATGGTCGGGCCAAGGTAGACGACACACTCGACAAGCACAAGGCCGACATGTCCACTGAAGGTTTTGAGGATGATGACTTTGTCATCGGGGTTCAGGACTGGAGAGATCCCGACTTGATGCCCCCTAAGAGTAGCACACATCCGACAACTAGCATCCCTACAACTGGCAAGGATACCTCCAAGACTGCCAGTGCGGATAAAGATGCCTCTTCCTCGCCCAACGGTCTTCAAGGTGGTAGCATTACACCAGGAAGTGGAGAATACGAGAGCTTCGAAAAATCCAGTGCTGGTTCTCATGACACGCACCGCAAGGGGTCTGAGAAAGAACCCATCGGAACTCATGGAAAGTCCGGATCTTCTTCCACGAAGGGCTGGTTCTCGAGTCACTTTGGATGGGGAGATGATGCTCAGCAAGACCCTCAGCCTTCTTCGTCACCTTCACTCCAGAATAGTATTGCAACCAACGAGCAGAAACAAACAAACGCTCCCACATCAAGCCGTTCCAGCGCGGAGTCTTCCGAACACGAAGGTCTTTGGGTTACAATGACACCTACCAGCATGTCCACCAGCCCCTTTTTCGATACTCTATTGGTACTTGTCGTTAGCCCTTTGCTCACACTGACGGTGGTTTATGCCCTTTTGCTGATCCGGTCTCGAATCCGCCGCCGTCGCTGGCGTGCCCCGAAGTCGGTTATCGAACGACTTCCTGTCCGAACGTACCACACAATTACTACCACTTCGTCCTCGTCTTCCAACTCAACGCGCCCCTCCAGTCCCAGTCCTTTATCCCCGACTTCCCCACTCCTTGGCAGTGATAGCCGACCAAGCGCATCCCGATCCAATAGATCACGTTCACAAACATTCTCGGGCACTATACTAGACTCATCTGTCGTACCCAAGGAAGAGAAGTGCAACCTGCAAGGTGGATCTACCTTGTGGCGACGGAAGTACACAGGAAGGCAGGTGGAGTGTGTCGTATGCCTTGAAGAATACATCGATGGTCAGAGCCGGGTCATGGGTTTGCCATGTGGCCATGAATTCCATGTGGAATGCATGTAAGTGACATGAATCTTTTTTGTCTTCGTTCCGAAGTTTTACTAACCTCTTTTCTCAGTACCCCCTGGTTGACCACTCGTCGACGAACTTGTCCAATCTGTAAAGGCGATGTTGTCCGTTCGTTGGCTCATTGTCAATCCGGTGATTCTCGGGGTCGTCGTGAGCAGTCTCTTGATGATGTTCGCAGCGTCCAGTCAATCCCTAGAGGCAGCGCATCTTCCGCTCCAGTGCCAATTGAAGGTGTCAATGACGATGCTTCAGATACGGAACAAAATGCAGGTTTACCTGGCGACCATGCAAATTCTGCCCCACAGTCAAGCTGGCGAAACCTCGCTACTCTTAGCTTTTCTGCTCTGAGTGGCGATACCATATGGCACCAGGCTCGCGCAGACCGCAATCGCTAACATTTATATTTTATCCACTCTTTTCGATTTTCTTAAAAACATTCCCCCCTCTGTCCTGTGGAATTTGCTCTCCTTGTATTGAAGCATGCTGTATTAGCGGTCGTTTGGAGTTTCTTATGATTTGGATCTGCTTGGCGTTTGGTGAGAACAGTTCGGCATGCTGGGCGGTTGCAAAGTGCCTGCAAGGATTGTTGAAGCGGCTGGAATATACCGCAGGTCAGTCGTTCAAATCGTGTACGTTCTTATGTTCTTTTGGTAGAATGGGTGTTTGAATGGATTCCATTGACACTTGGCTGTCATAATACTATTGCTATGCTACCATCTTCTGATCTATTGACACTGAATAATCGCCTACCAACATGGCCTCTGCAGTTGCAGTTGCATTTGTAATTGATAGTATTCAAAGCTGTTCAAATCACACCTCGATTCAAATCACTCAGATCAAATGCTCAGCCTCATCCCTTCTCAATATAGACATTCCTAGCAATATCCCCAAACACATCAAGTGCATGAAACAGCCGTTCACGCGCCAATTCAAGGCGAGGAATCATTTCCCGACCCAAAGGCAAGAACCACTCACTCTCACGTCCAGCACCGACGCCCTCGCCAACGATGACTTCATACATCGCCTTGACAGCCTTATCCGTATCGCCATCAGGAACAATCTTACCAGTCAGTAAAACATCCAGCGTCTGCGCAATCACAGAGCCGGCATAGTCCACCGGTAAAGGGTCAGCGGGAGAACGACAACCAGACCCGAAGTGCGTGTTGAAAGTTCCCAGCCATACCGTCAGGAGGCGGACGTTGAAAGGCGCGACTTCTTTAGCGAGCACTTTGCATAGACCTGCGGAACATACACATCAGCACATAAAGGAGACATCCCTTAACAGAAGAAAAAGAAAAAGGAGAACGGTACCATCCATAGCAGCCTTCGCCGACGCATAAGCACCCATACTCTCCCTCCCCTCCACTCCAGCCCCAGAACTGACATTGACAACAACCCCAAACCGTCTTTCTCTCATCCCAGGCACAACCGCTCTGATCAGCCGATTTGGTCCAAAATACACAGTCTCCATCTGGGCCCGCAGCTCCGCATCTGAGAACTGCTCCACAGCCCCGAGGATCGCGTATCCGGCGTTGTTGACCAACACGTCGATCTTGTGTGTAGACTCGAGCTTGGATACCAGCTCAGAGGCGGCGGTTGGGCTGTCGACGTCTAGTGTGTGCCATTCGCCTCCGTTTTGGGTTATCTCTGATACTAGTTCCGGGGTGCGAGAAGGTTGTCGGGATGTTGCGAGTACTTTGTGGCCGTTTGATTGGGCGGCACGTGCCAGTGCGAGGCCCAGGCCTGAGGAGCAGCCCGTTATAAGCCAGACTAGCGGGCGGTTGGGTTTGGTGAATGTTGGTGCTTGTGTGGCCATGGTGGTTTGTGACAGGTTTTGGATGATGGTGGTGAAAATTTGACTCTGTGTTGTGATGTTGGTTTGCAATAAACTTATAATTACAGTGTTATAATATCAGAATAGCATGGCTCTTTTATATCGTTCTATTACTGCGTGTCTCGGACTTAGGGCGGAGTTAATATGGTATGTCAGCCTTGATGCCTTGATGCTTCCATTTCAAGGATTTAAGGTGGAAAAAGGACTTAAACTGGCGTCCGGTGGTTGACAAAGGTCATCATCGGCTTGATTTGATATCCAAGCTACCTCAGCACATCCACAAGGTTGTAAATGAAGTTGTCATAATTTCTACAGAGTGACTCCAATATAAACATACAAGCCAAATACATACAAAATAAATCACAGAAAAAAAAAAGAGAAAAGCAGCCCATCACCAGGAAAAAAACAAAATTCAATGCTAAGTTCAACAAGATCCCGGCACACACGACAAGCTACAAGCGAACCGCCGGAACGGTAAAGGCCGAAGCATCTCATTCGGACAGCGGGGCATCTTCATTCCATTCTCGAACGGTATCAAGTCCCACCACTCCATCCATTCAGCACGGGGAATCACGTACTCCCGCTGGCATACGGAGCAGGACTTCCCACCAGCAGCACGCACTTCCCTCGCTTGTTGCAGCAAGGGCACAATCAGCGCCGGATACTCGGCTAGCTCTTCATCGCTGGTTTGCTCCAGGTAGGGAAGCTTGCTCACAGCACGGAGCGCGACTTCACGTAGGGATGGGGCGTCGTTTACAGGAGATGCCAATCCTGGTGTGAGAGTGAGTCTGTTGCTGGATGGGCTGTCTCCCATAGGATTGCCCTCCATGTCCATGTAGGTGATCGTGCCTGTTGCGAGGTGGAGAGGACCCCACCTCTCGGTGTGCGATTGGACCGCAGGAGACAAGTCCTGGTGGTTCTCTTTTTCTTTATTGTTGTAGTGCCGTTCTGCGATCTTCGCTTTGTCGTATGTGAGGAATGGGTTCGGGCGTACGGTCAAGTGTTTCAGTTCGCCTTGTTGGATGAGTTTGAGAACCTCCCAGGGAAGGTAGGTCAACTGATTGACGGAAAGGTTCAAAACTTCCAGTGCTGTCAGTTTGCAGATTGTAGATGGGATTTCGGCCAGCTTGTTGTTTCGCAGGCTGAGGACTTTAAGGTTGCTGAGCTCGAAGAGATCTTTGTGCAGGGTTGATAGAGAGTTGTAGGGGAGATATATGCTGAGGAATGGCTGCAGAGACGTGAAGACGTTCTCTGAGACCGGGGCTTCCTTGACTGATGGAAGCTTCGTCAAGTGCTGTAGGGGTAGTAGGAGACCGGGTGGTATAGTTCCCAGATTGAATTCACTGCATAGGACAAAGCTATTAGGATCATTGGCATGGGTGAAAAGGGACATCAGATGAAATGGCATTAGCACATACCCCAGGTCAATGCTTTCATGTCCTTTATCAAGACAATCACCGATAACCTCCCGGGCAAACCGATGAGGATCGGATTCCTCGGGACTTTTGAATGCAATGCGAGTCTGTGAAGACATGTTCTCTGTCTCAATACTGACAGGTATAGAGCTTCCAGGTTTTCTAGGATCAAGCACAGACTTGCGCAAGTCTTCCCCCCACGCCGAGCCATCCTCCGACGGCAAAAGCGACTCAGCAACCGACTCATCACTCCCCATCCACACACCACTATCAACATTCCTCTTATCCTTAAAGTCTGCCCTTTTCCGCTTCGGATCCAGCACCTGCTCCCCCCACCAGGTCCCTCGATACCGCCGTTTCCGTCCCGCGCCCGATACTGTCGCATGGTAGTTCTCCAGCCCCGAAGCCGGGATATCGTCACTTGAGAAAAGCGCAGGATCACTGGATGGCTGACTAGAGCGGTCATCGAAGCGTGATAGTCGCTGTGCGCGCTGGAACGAGACCGCTGTGCCTGTCGCTGAGGGGTTCTTCACGGGTGAGCGGTGCCGGACTCGCCGCGGCGGTGGGAGGGGGATCTCGCTGTCCATTGCGATCTCAGTTCGCGGATTCAGACGAGTCTCTTATAGTTCTCTGCCTGGCTCATTGGGTTTCTATTCCAACACGGTTTCGATCTGATGTTCGGAGTTGCGCGACGCGTTGTGGTTCCTTGTGGAGACCCGCGATGGAGACCTGCGGGTGTCAACAAACGCGCTAATGGATGGCGCGATTGGGAGAGATAAGGGGATAGGATCGACTGGAATCAATTGAGAGGCATCTTATATTTTGGAAGAAAACCAGCTTCCCGGTTGGAATGGAAGAAGATCAGATCAAGAGATAAGATCACAGCGCACACGTGCACGGGCATATCAGTTGACCCCGGAGCTCACGGCTTCCCCACTGGAATGTTGGATCGACACGATCTTCTCTATCTTTCTACCACGTCGCTGCTATTGGTGTTTATAGTTGGAATTGGCATCAAAGGAGAAGAAGAAAGGTGTCTATATTCTGTGGATGACTCAAACTCGACTCATGCAAGTCCTGGATATCAGCCAGACCAGTCTGACAACTAGCAGGTCACCCATGACAACGTATATGGACAAAATAATTGAATCAACAGGGTTTGAAGAAGAGAATAATAACAGCATCAACTCATATCGGTCCAAAAAGTCATAATGAAGTGAAAAAAATGGGGTATTTGAAAAAGCGTTAAGCCATTTCCTCTCTGAAAACGGGTTCTTCAGCTGACCGAGAGGAATAGAATTGTTAAAGTGTAAGAAGAAAAAAGAAGAAGATCCCGGCTCTGCTGGAGATAAACGGCAATCAACAAGGCAGCAAGTCATGCAGTATGAACTGGGCGCAGTATGGCAGTGGCTCCAATTCATGATCGTTGCCTGCATGAAGGCTTCTTGCCGAGAAGTCGCGATTGTAATTACAAGGCTTGGCCCACCATCACAACGATATAGCCAGCGACGGCCAAGGCAGCTGGCATGCCGGCGCCAATGTTGGCCGCTGCGCCGATGGAGGTGGCGGCTGGAACAGCAGAAGTAGTGGAGGCCACACGAGAGAGGGGAGTCGACGTCGAAACAGACATGGTGCTCAGGTATCTCGCGCTGGAACTTGGGCTGGGACTTGGGCTAGGATTTGCGATGGTACTCGCTATGGTACCCGCGACGGAAGTCGTGATGGAAGTCGTGATGGGAGTAGGAGTTGGGGTCACCGAATTGACGCGAACCAGAGTCTTAGTAACGGTCGTGGTTGCAGTCGAGGTAATGGTCTCCTCTGCGGCGACGAATGGAGCCGCGACTAGGCAAAGGGAGGCGACGATGGTGGTGAACTTCATTTTGCGAATTGATTCGAAGGTAGATATCAATATGGAAGAGGGAGCAAAGTGATTGAATTGGGTTCAAGATTGGTGAAGCGTTGATATGGCGCCAAGATGAGAATAGATGTGTTTCAAATTTGATCGCAAAAGAGTGAGCGTCAAAAGAGAGATTCAATAAAGATCGTGTGGAGCGCTGCTCAGACAGTATAAAGAGTGACTGAAACGAGTGTATATAAGAGAAATCTCTGCGTCTAAGGAAAAAGGGAAAAAAAAAAGGAAATTTAGGGCATGGCCGGGGCTAAATAACGTCTCGAACCTGGGGAAAAGAGCCATTCAGTCAAAGAAGTCTTGTGGCGCTTCTGTTTTGGTCTTGTATTTGCTCTCTTGTATTATTGTTTGATTTGCAAGTGAAACATAACCTTCCTATTGGCCCATTGAACACGACCCTGGAAGATTGGGCTCCATTCAGACCGAACTATAACATTTGAAGCCCTAAATGCCAAAGAGTTTTCCGCACAGACTCTACAACAAAGACGCCAGGGGTAAAGTCTGTGATTATCGTATGCAGAGTAGTTAAATGCCATAGTTGGGCTTATTTACATCTGTTGCTCGTAATTTCAAACCGTGTCCCTTGGTGCAGCAAATACGAGAATTCTTCGCCTCGTACTCCGTATACTCCGGTGTAATTACGCCACTTCCTATGTTCAGAACTGTTTCCAGTGGCGCCTTTGCTTACTTTGCTTACTTTGTTGTTTTGCTGTTTTATTATTACCCCTAGAGTGATAGTTAGAATGACGATTCTCGCTGGCCATCACATGCTACTGCAAGTGTTCACTCCCTCGCGGGCACTTCCGTCTTTTCCGGACCCCTGGCGTCATGCGCAGGAAGAACAATCTTAGACATAACAATAACAGACAGTTTATGGAGGAATTGACTTGGGTCCTGATCTGACATCTTACCTGCCTTAAAATGGTTCCGGTGGTTCCCCCCAATACTGAAATTTACCGCAATTTGCCCGGTTCCCACACTATTTAGAAAGAAACTTTTTGTGTTATACATACTACTTCCTATGTTATAAGGCTCTGTGGATCGTTTGCGTGGTTCTATTCAGGAACGAAAAACGATCGTCGCTCGGGCCTACTGTGTTGGGAATCTCGACTCCGTGGCGTAGAGTCTGGGGAGGAGGTGAGTCATTCGATGCTCACTTATTCGTGTTCTTAGCCTTACAACATATAACTACATTGGCACACTGTGTTATGTGTTGGCACCATGTCATGATTATAAGAGGGGTCTTTTTCAGGGGCTCTGGGCTCATTGGGCTCGCCAAGCCCTATGTCCTCCACTTGGAACACAACGACAAATCCTACTACGGAGTATACTCTGTCGTGTCGATCGACTTGAAATTTGAAGATGATCATTATCCACTCCATAGTCCGTACTCATCCGTCTAAGGTCATTTGGACAGGAGAAAAAGGGAGGGGGGAAAGGCGTTCGCTCTTTTTCTTCTCATGTTTAGCGCTCAATCTTATTTTTTGTTCAATAAGATTGCACAAAGTAGTTGGATCAAATTAGGGGCACTCAAATCCTACACATGATAGGTTAAATAGTGTGCCTTTAGCTTTGGTTGTAAATCGGTGCTTTGGAAATAGCGTTGAGACCAATACTGTCATGGCTAGATGAAATATATATCAGTACCCATTACCAGTTCATTGGTCCTTAAAATACCATAATTTTCGCTGCAACAGAGCCCGATATCAATCAGCGTTGTCTCTAGACACTAGGTTCCTCGGGGAGAACTCGGAGAACTCGTGGCCATTGACACTGAGTCTTTGATATGCGATGATTCTACGCTGTAGACCTCCAGGTAAAGACTGTATTGTATGTAGTATCAAAAGTAAAGACCAAGCATATCAGAATTGTCGATCCCATTTGCATTCGCTCATTTCTCAATTATTTTCCCATTCTTGTCATCTTCAATCATTCCAGTTCTCTCGCTTACAACGCAGGCTTCTCATTTTTGATGTCCCCGAACTGATTCCGCCAGAGGTTCTGATATTTTCCACCATCCTTCTTCAGCAGCTCTTGGTGAGACCCGCTCTCGACAACCTGTCCCTCATGCACAACAAGGATCCGGTCGGCGCTGGAAATAGTTGAAAGTCGATGCGCAATGACAAATGTAGTTCGCTTGGCTCTCAATCGGTCCAACGCCGTCTGGATATCCGATTCCGTGCTCGAGTCTACGGCACTCGTTGCTTCATCCAGCAGGAGAATCGGTGACCTCTTTAGGAAAACCCGAGCAATGGCCATCCGCTGTAGTTCACCACCAGACAACTTGACACCCTGTTCTCCAACTGTGGTGTTGTATCCGTCGACAAAAGTGAGGATTTTCTCGTGAATAGCTGCGGCACGACATGCTTCGTGGATCTCTTCATCCGAAGCTGAGGGCCGGGCATACCGCAAATTCTCGATGATAGACGCGTTGAATAAGACGGGATCTTGTGGAACGACACCGATAGTCTGACGTAGTGAGCTGAGGGTTATGTCGCGGATGTCTTGGCCGTCAATATCGATATGGCCTGCAGTAACATCGTAAAGTCGGAGAAGGAGTCTAAGGATTGTTGTCTTCCCTGAACCAGTCATACCGACCAGTGCAACTGTTGTCCCAGGTTCGATAGAAATATTCACATCCTTGAGAGTCTTTAATCGAGAATCATAGGCAAAGTCAACATGGTGGAATGAAACACGGCCATCACCAGGCTTCAGCGGCATCGCATACTCCTTGTCAGTGACGCTGGGCTTGGACTGGAACAGGAAGAGTAGCCGCTCCGCATCAACTAGATCAGAGACAAGCCAGCGATATTGCGCGGAGAGGTAGGCCAAAGGAGAGATGAGCGAAGACCAATACTGAATGAAGAAAACAAAGTCTCCCGTGGAGGCGCGTCCCACAGAAATCTCATGTACGATGAGCGAGGAGAGACCAACGAAGCAAATGGGTTTGAGTAAGTCCAGGAGTGATCTGCCTATTGCTCGGCGTTGACCGAAACGAGCGCTGGCCTTCAAGGCGAGGTTAACTGCTTCCCCAAAGCGAGACCTCTCGTACGAAAACTGGTTGAAGTATGTGACAGTCTGCCAGCCTTGTACGGCCTGATGCATAATGCGAGTTTCGTCTCGCTGTGTCTGTGAAACATCACGTCTGGCATCGATGTTCCAGTTAGAGGTAAAGACCTCCGTCGCAACATAAGCAATAGATACTATCACCACCAGCAGGGACGCGTAGATATTGAACTTCAAATAGAAAACAACACATGCAATAGCCAAGTCAATCACTGTCGGGATGATTTCTAGAATAGCAACTTCTAACAGACTGTTCAGCGCTCCACCTTGATCGATGGACTTCATAACTTCTGCTGAGTCATTTTCGATATGGAAGTCCATTGACAGGTTCATGACATGGCTGAAGGCAGCAGCAGTGATCTGCCGGTAAGAGAACTGCCTGATAGGAATCTTGACAAGCGCCTCGATCAATCCTAGCCCAGCTCCGCCACTGATGAGCTGCAGCAGCGCCCATTTTCCCAGTGAAGCATATGGGGTTTTGTTGGCAAAAATGCTATCGGTGACATCTGCTAGTTGCTGAGGAATGAGGATGTTCAGAGCCCGGTGGCATACTAGACAGAAGATACTGGTAGCAATACAAAGCTGGACCTTGCGATTGTTTCTGGGGACCAAGTATGGCAGAAATATCGAGAAGCTTTTCAGATATTCCAACCAACCCTTAAATGACTGCAACTTGTCATTGCGGAGTCTTTTCCTGCGCATGGCTGCATCATTCTTATTCTTGCCGGTGTCCGAATCGCTCTCGCTCTTGGAGTCCACGCTGCTATTGTCCGAGTCATTGCCATTCGCTGCGCCATATCTTGTATGATTGCCATTTAGGAAAGGGCGCGACTCTTCCGATATCTTTTTCTTCCTCTGTCTAGTCTCAAATAGAATCGCACTTGCCACAAAGACAAGCAGGGCAAGTCGGACTGCTGAGATGGTAACCTGCGTGTTTGGCACCCACTGTCTCGGCTTGGGACACAAAGAGAGCGCAAGGAGTGGAATTTCGAAACCAGCGGTGACCAACGAGCTCCCAGCCACTTCGTACTTGGAAGGATTCTGTCGCAGCCACAGTGCCGTCCATATGACCGCTTGAGAGGTCATATGCACCAAGAATGGCTGAGAACTGTCCAGGTCATCAGTGGTGATTTTCAAGGCCGTTTGACTGACATATGTGAAAACGATCAAGCTAGCCAAGATAACTCGAGGTCGACTGCGGCGCTTGGAGCGAGTCTTTCTTCTCTTTACCGGAGTGCGATAAAATAAAATGCATATTACAATGTAGAGACTTGCTATCAAAGTACAGCTATAATGAAGGGGAGGTGCTAGCTGAGTAGCCATGATGGGAGGTGGGACGGAGGTTCTGGGTAAAACCTCTCTAGCAGGGTACTAGCAGAGGTGGTTCTTTATATATTCCCCCATTCTGAGCCTCATTCCTATACCAAAGACCCGTTATTAACTGAGCGACTGCTTATTGGATAGACGCACTGATCATGTCAAAGGTACCTCCTGCGCCAGGGGGCTGGGAGAAGGGTGTCCTAGCGGCTATCCAAACTAAACCGGGCTGTAGACTTAGGCCGAGGCGGCAAAATGGCTTCATTATTGGTTGGACCATGCAGATCAGACTGGAATTTACCTGGCTACACCGTAAGTTGATGCTCTTGGTTGGCAGACATGCCTTACTACTTACTTTGTACTCCGTGCAGTGGACATCTAAGGGGCTGACTATGTTTCGGTGACTTGTTCGAGGATAAGTAATAAAGGAATAATCCTGTTCCTAATTATCACACTGTGATATAGGTTCTATTCTCAAACTGCGACCGTGACCGTACTTCGCCTTCGTTGTCTGTACTTTGATATTGATCTTCACCTACCTCTCTATATAGAAAGTTCTATACAACATGAAGTTCTACTTACCGTTACCGCGTACCTGCACATGTCAAGGCAAACAGTACGGTCCCTAACTGGAATAATCTGGGATTAAATCTCTAAATCCCCGAGAGCGGCTGGAACAGCAATCTAACATCCGTCTGCATCTGGTTTCAGGATCGGACAAACGGAAACAAACAGAACTGAATCACGGGTACAGCTGCCTGTTAGCTACTTGTAGGTAGAGATGGCTCCTCTGAAAGGGGATTTCTATAGTTTGGTGGCTATGATCAAGACAAGACGGTTATAGCCTTACATACTGCCTAGCCTGGGCATCAAAGCCACGTCTTGAGACAAAATAGATGCCAGTCCAGTCAAATAATATGACGGTTGGCTGTGGTTTTACTAAAAGATTGACAATCAACGTGGTCGTATTCAGAACCAACCAGATTTCTTGCCCTGACTTTGGACTTAATCAACAAGGGTAGCTAGACTAGCCCATACATAGAATCTTTGACCTCGTAGATTGATCCCCCCCCCTTGAGCTGGATTCTCACATCATTGGACCGTCCCCACACAGCATCACAGAGGAGTTTCCTTTCCAAGGACAGGATTGAATCGTGTAAAAGAGAAAAAAAAAGAATATATTATCACGACAACGCCTAACATGGAACAACTGAGACAATTGAACTTCAATTCATGTTCTGGGTACTGCTAGATTATGTACATCGCGTGTTCAAGTAGCGAGTACCCATGAACTTGTCCGTCACAGCCATATTTGGGTAGTTGTCCTGTCTCTCGAAACCACCAGAAAAAGTATCTCTTAACCATAGAGATTATATCGTACAAGGGACGTCGCCAAGGAGTGGTCATGTCGCATGTTTCCCGAACATAGCCATAAGACTGCGAGAAAAACTGTGTTCACTGGCGCATTGGCCGGAGGGGGCTCTGTCGGGGGAGCATCATTGGGGGGCCCCGAGCACGAAGCCAGGCATCGTTTTGAGGTCCTTCGGAGCGGATGACGCTACCGATGGACATGAAGAGTCTATTTGAAGGGAAGTTGATTAGCCAGTGATTCTCAACCAAAGTAGTATAACTTCAAAGCTTTCAAGGAGTCAACCATACCCGAAAGTGGCGCCTGAACCTAGCATATACTTGCCGAGAGTCCGCATAACACCGTTGGGGCCAGCGCCATATTGGAAGATCGTCACAGTTCCTGTTTCAGTTAGCCTATCATGCACATCTCCATTCGGGGACTAAGTGGGACCAACCAATAATGAAGCCCATGATACCACCAACAGCTGAAAGGGGAGCTATGTTAGCAAAAGCTCTTGGCGAACAAGGCTCGGTTGTTTTGTGATCACGTACTGGAACCCATCAGGCAGCCCATTTTCACTAGGAATATGTCAGCATACTTGGTTCACATATATATATAGTGCCCAAGGAAAAAGGACACCACGCGGAGGGTGATCTATATCACTAGGTTGTAGATGACATACTCTTCTCCAAAGTTGAGGGAACACCCCCTGGGCCCGCTTGAGCGGGAGGTCCGGCAACCACAGGCATTATGGAAAGCTAAAAAGAAGCTTGTGAATTAGATTAAAAACAGCATGCAACAGCTCTGAGCCGAATGAGAGATCTCGTTGTGAGAGTCAAGGAACAAGCTCTTTTTCCTCCTCGGCTTGATGCTTCTCCGCCTTCGTCACGTGAGTCCCTAACGGGCTTGAAATCGCACACGTGCCGGTATAGCACGTGACCCATTTTGCCTGTCGGCGGCATCAAGGGCGTAGGAAACAAATGGCACTCTTGCGCTCTTGCGTGGGTTCCCTCATGGCAACTATCCTCGGTCTCTGATTTCTTTTTCGCTACGTCTTTTAAAGGGCTGCCTGAAGCCTGCGCCGAGGCGGCAGTCCCGTCTTGTGCTTATATCATTGCCCTGGCGTGAGCCCGGTCGCTCACGATTTCCGACCTCCACACAACTCCTTGGTCTTGAAGCACCTATTTTATTCTCTCCTAAATATCTCTCAGTTCACAATTCTAAAGTGAGTCCACTTCCTACTCCAAATACGCAACTATTTTTTGTGGGGTCGAGGCAAGACCTCGACCTAGGAGTCAATTTATTTGTCTCTCCCTAAACAGCACTAACGCGACCGTCTTGACTTTAGTCGGGCGACCCAAGTTTCAATCACCCTTGCGCGCATTCAATATCACCAATCCCCGGACATAAACCAACATTACTAGACGTCCTCTTTTTACTCTTGAGACCTCCTCAGAAGACGGCCTACGGCCCCTTTTACAGTTCGCAACCGTGGACGCGCTCCGTGCTCCGTCTAGATATTCCATTCCCTTGAACCATTCGCATCCTTCTCTATGACTGCCGTGGCATCTCCACCTAGTGTCGAATCGGGGTCTCGCTTGGGATGGTACAGCTCTAGTAACGGAGGAGAAGGAGCTCTGTCTTCAGCGAATGCGGACGACGTGTCACGGATGTTCATGCCACGGAAACACATTCAACGCTCAAACTCCTCGTCCTCTCTAGGGTCGAATTCTTCGGTCTCCTCCGCATCTACTGTGACCACCCCTTCCCAAGATACCCATGCCGCGCAGAATTCGGCCAGTGAATCAGAGACTTGGTCGTCATCAAAAAAGAAGTATTCGAAAAATATCTGGCCTAGCTCGAAATCCGAGCCGGTATCGGGGGTGACAAACGCGCGATCTCAGGCGGTGCCTGCGTTCTCGTCGGGCCCAAGTGCGTCGTCGACAATGTCCGCAATGCACCAGCCTTTAAACATCGTCCCATCGCAACAGATGCCCCAGTCATCGCAGCAGAATGGAGTCCGTGCGCCAACCGGCCCACCCTCGGAGAATCTAGCAATTTTGATTCTTTTGCCGATGAACGGCACTTTTGACAGGAAACAGATCAATGTACCATATTATCCCGACGTCCTACGAATCGGGCGCCAAACAAATGCCAAAACGGTGCCTACGCCTCTCAATGGATTCTTTGACTCCAAAGTCCTCTCTCGACAGCATGCTGAGGTATGGGCCGATAAGTCTGGCAAAATCTGGATCCGAGACGTCAAATCTTCAAACGGGACATTTGTGAACGGTCACCGACTGTCTCCCGAAAATCGGGAGTCAGAGCCGCACGAACTGCGAGAAAGCGATACCCTAGAGCTGGGTATTGATATTGTCAGCGAAGATCAATCCACCATCGTCCATCACAAAGTCTCATCTAAGGTTGAGCATGCCGGAACTTATGGCACTACTCCTAGTATCCTTGATCTGAACTTTGGGGACTTGGATCCTGCCTCGGGGGGAGGCCTTCTTCCTTCTCCCTTGAGCCAACCTCTTTCTCATACGCGCGGTAGAGCCGGTAGCAACGCGAGTAGCAGAATTGCCCAGAGTGTTGCCAGCAATCAGCTCAATGCTTTGCATCAACAACGGCAGATGAACTACTGGAATTCCCCAATCTCTATCGAACAGGTCGTCAAGCGGCTTACGGTGTGTATCACAATTTATCTGCATACTACATATCACTGATTTTTTCCAGGGCGAACTGAAATCCGCAAAGCAACAGACAACAGATCTTTCTCAAGCAGATGAATTTTTGACGACGATCATGAAACCAGGCTATGCAGAGAAAGAAAAGCTCATTAAGCCTTCTCCTTTGGAGAACAGTTCTCATCGCCAGATGAATGGTCGGCCCAAAATGCCTCGAGTCGACTCCTTCTCCAGATTCTCGGATCCTCCTGCCCCTCCACCTCAACAGCCTCTGCCGGAGAAACCCGACGCGTTGTCACGAAGTACATCAGAACCGTTCTCACCGCTGAAGCGCAGCGATACGGAAAAACCGAAGAGTGGTACAGGTTCTCCTGTCTCCCGCGATTCTAGTCAGATATTGAATCTCATCGAGGCGCTATCTTCTGCCAAGCGAGAGATTGAAACCCATGGAACACGTGTCAAGGAACTAGAAAATTTGCTGTTCCAAGAGCAGGCTGCTCGTAAATTGGCAGAAGACAAAGTCAATGAATTGGAGATGCGCTCATTGGATGTTGAAGTCAAAGTCGAAAACGGCATTGTTCCATCTCCAGAGAATGGCGTAGACAGAAAGGAGGAACAGGACGATTCAGAAGCAACCGTACAGGTCAACGGCACCCATCCTTCGGAGACTCCCGCTCCCGACAACAGCCAGGCAGACGCTCCTGTGGAAGACAAGACTGCTGAACTTCAGACTCGCTTGGAAATCATGATGGAGGAGATGGCAGAGATGAGAAAGCAAATGGCATTCTTTAAAGATCGAGCCGAGAAGGCTGAAGATGAGACCACGGAGTCTCGCAAGTCGTTGAACGAAATGATTGAAACCTTGCGCCAGGAACGCGCCGAGAAGGCATCAGCCACGGCGCTTGACAAGAAAACCGATACGCATGATTGCGAGCCAAGCAATGGGTTAGCAGAACAGTCGCTTACGAGCGATGATATTCCAACGGATTCCAAGACGAAGACTCCATCGATGCAGGGCTCCGATTCGGTCACCTCGCAAAACAAGGACATGGATGCTGCAGCTGCAGCCACAGCCTTTGCAACACAACGCCATCGATACAACTATGTACAAGAAGCAAGTCCTTACGCTTCTATGTTTGGCGTGGTCTTATTGGGAGTAGGCCTGATGGCCTATCTCAACAGTTGGCAAAAGATCGACAAATAAACCAGCCTGGCCTCGCTTTCCTATCCCTTTGACGGCTATTTCTATTGCATAGGCCCTTTGCATAATTTGACTTTGTCTTCTATCTTTTTCAGTCTTTGCCAGTCACGACTTTCTGGCGATGAATGTGCTGATTCTTGTCTCGCTTGAGGACCATCTTCTTGTCTTCATATTCGGAGCATATTCCCTTTAGCCCACACTGTCTCTTTTATTTCACGAATTTTTTGATGACTTTCTCGAGATCCCTCTTGGGAATCTCCTTCTTGGTCGTCTTCTCCGACGTCCGTTCCTCCCCTCTGTCTTGCCATCTCCTTTTTCTTCGTTCTTCTTCTACCTCCTACCATGTTACTATTAGCCTGTCACCCTTTTATAGGTCGACATCTCTCTTTCTCTTTTGTCTGTACATGATGGGAAAATTAGGATACATTCCTTGCAGCCTCTCTTTGAAACGTTTCGTTCGACGAAGGGTTTTCAGGCATTATCATTCATCATGTCATGTCAGCACAGGGCTTTGTGAGCGTATCAAGGAGTTCTTATTCGTACTATTTCGTTTTCTATTCATGCCATTTGTTATTCGCTGGCAGATTCGATCACTCTCCCTCTTTTAACCTCTTTTCTGATTGGAGTAGTACCTTCAACCTATAGTCCTATCTCCCTCTCTTTCATTTTCCATATAAGTCCGTCCAGCATATACAGTGCGTTAAGTCGGTTGGGTGGAGCATGCGCTCTGGGGAAATCAGAGTTTATTTCTGAAGTATAATCTCAATGTACATGATTTTGCGCTAGGCTAATAACCTAAGGGCAAACAAATTGTTCCTTTCCTGATCCTGATCAAGGGCCTTCCGCGCCTGTAATGTGGATATTGCACCTGTAGAGCGGTGAGGGTGGTAAAAAGAGGCTTGAGGGCTCGACTGCATCCCAAAACAGGAATTCAGGATAAAAATCTTCTGAACTGGGTTACTGGGTGGTGTATAGTCACCATCAGCGTTCCATTTGGATCGTAGTCACTCAGCAGGATGTGCGTGTACTCAATGTTCTAGCTGGTAATTCTGGGCTTGGTCACAGGCTCATAGTTGGTTCGCAGCAATGGGTGTGAAGCCTTGGAGTTGAACATCCAGCAGATGATGGTCGTGCAATCGGATGACCGACTATCGTAGGAGTTTTGTCGGGGTGACCGCAAGCGAATTCACTTAAGGCTGACGGCGACTTCAACCATTTTGATCCACCTTATCCGGCTCTCGGGGAGCTCGGCGTCATCCTCTACCGCGGCGGCCTGACGTTTCCTCTTCTTTGCGGCTGACTTGGATTCCGGCTTAGAAGCCGCATCTCCCTGGTCAGTTGGGGTTTGCTCTTGCTGCCGTTGCCGTTTCTGTTCTTCTTTTGCTTTAATTTCTTCGTCCTCGACGATATCATCCACGACAACCACGCTCCCCGTATTGACACAGACTGTGTACTCGGTTTCCTTTTCCTCGAACCATTTGGCTACGTTCAGCGCCTTCTCAATAGCCCGCCCTGTCGCCTTCACAAAAACTTTTTCTCGCTTCTCTGGCACCTTCGACAACTCCTCGAGTATCTGTTTATCGTTCTTGCGCGTATCCTCGAGACTGATGTTTGCTGTGGCGCGCTTCTCGGCCTGCAGCAGGAGTTTCTGGACGCGCTTGACGGCGCTCATGAATGGCGTAGTCTTAGACACATAGACAATCTTAGGTACTAATGCGCCAGCATATGGGGATGCGACTGGGGCATGAGGTATAGGACGCTTCTCAACTTTGGCATCTGTTATCCAAAAGTCAGCATTTGTGATCCCCGGTTCTCAGCATTGGCCATCTAGGCGATCGGATGGGAAGGCGCACGTTTTGGGAGTCTAATGAGGTCTTTGTTCTTTTTCTCAAACTGGAGCTTTTTCTCCAATAGTCCCTTTGCCATGGCTAATATATGCCTTACACGAATGAAAATTTGCGGAATCAAGTCGAAGTATTGGAGCTGCACGTCTTATCGTCTGCCTTTTTCTGCCGGCCGCCTGCCCATATGGCTTGCTTATGTCATCACCTGTTGAACCTGCCTAATTTGGAATTGGGAAGCTAAAACTAGGTATTTCTCCAAAGTAGATCGGCAAACTATATGATACCTAATTAGGTAGCACCTTCTCACTAATTTGACCTCAGTAGCCTGATCATCCAAACAATTATGTAGCTCTATGCACTTGTTGATGTGCTTGAGTGTAAAGGAGAACACCTAGCGATTCGCTTCGGAAGGCCCGCGGTGTGTTGCAGACCGGTGATGTTCCGTCTACTTTCTACTTTCGATTGAAAAGGAAGCAAGGTTGACTTGAAAGCCTACTCCACATTCCTGAGCCGCATTAAAGACGTTGGCTTAAGTTATGTACATACTGTATTCAATTGTTACCATGATCCAAACGCCCCGACTCCTGTCAGGTTCT